ATGTAAGTTGGAAACTGCCTTTAGAGCCAAAGCAGCTTTTGCACTGTGCTTGTGGATCTGGGTCCATTTCTTTAGATTTTGGCTTAATGGTGCTTTATTATCTTATTATATAATTGACACTTGTATAAATAATATTTTAAGCAACATTTAAAAATTATGGTCAACAAAAGGGTTGGTTCTTTTAATCAAGTTCTCTGATAACTGGAACCAGACAGAGTAGCAGGCTCACCACCAACTTTGAGAATACTGTCCTCTGGAACAATCCCAGTAAGGCTTACAAGCTGTGATGTTTAGTACGTACTTCTTATTTTGTTAATTACCACTTTGAAAAAATAAACATGTCTCTCTGCCTAACAATGTAATGAAATTTTGCCAGGACTTCAGGGCTCAATCCCCAGGGGTCTAGATTAAGGTTCTGCAACATGTCTGTACTGACCACAGCTTCCCATAGTCTGTTAAACACATGTGCTGTCAGAACAACAGGGCAGCGATCTTCCTGGGGAATCTGTGCCACTCCTCTGTGGGTTTCTCTTTTACTAATATCACAGAGAAACTAGTGAAAGAGTTAGCCTTAGAGTTCAGGGTTTCTGAGTACACTGCAAAATAGAACCTGTTTTGCTCCATTGTTCCAGGAGCGTGCTTTGGTGGTTTTTATTATTCAAAATATTCAGATCACTCTTGAAAGTGGCCCTCCCTTTGGCAGAATCATACTTCTCTGTTCTATTGATGGAAGACTTCATTGTGTGGCTGGCTTGACCAAAGGAATGTGAGAGGAAGTAATGAGATCAATTTCTTTTAAAATAATTTTTATATATTTTAAAAAATTTTTTCCTTGTTCTTTTTAGATATGCATGATAGTAGATTGTGTTTTGACATATTATATATACAGGGAGTATAACTTATTCTAATTAGGGTCCCATTCTTATGGTTGTACCTGATGTGGACTTTCACTGGTGGTATATTCATATACAAACATAGGAAAGTTTTATCAGATTCATTCTACTGTCTTTCTTATTCCTATACTCACTCCTTTCCTTTTGTTCCCCTTTGTCTAATCAAATGTACTTCTATTCTTCCCCTCCTCCCCTTATTGTGTGTTAACATCCGCATATCAGAAAGAACATTCAACATTTGGCTTTTTTGGATTGGCTTATTTCACCTATCATGATGTCTCCAAATCCATCCACTTATTGGCAAAAAGTCATAAAGTAATCTTTTTTACAGCTGAGTGATATTTCATTGTGTGTGTGTGTGTGTGTGTGTGTGTATGTGTGTGTGTATCACATTTTCTTTATCCATTCATCTGTTGAAAGGCCTCTAGGTAGGTTCCATAGCTTAGCGACTGTGAATGGAGCTGCTATAAACATTGATGTGGCTGTGTCACTGTAGTAGGCTGATCATAAGTCTTTTGGGTATAGACCAAGAAGTAGGATAACTGGATCAAATGGTGGTTCCATTCCAGGTTTTCTGAGGAGCAATTCATTTCAGAATGAGAATGAGTGCTTCTTCATGCTTCCTTTTCACTCTACCATTGTGACAGGGATGGTCCCAGAGAGGAGTCAGAGTTATTTGTGTGTGAGTTGAACCTCAGCTCATCAGAAACCAACAGGTTCTCTGAGTATAGTTAAGGAACTCTGATGGAGGTCTTCAATGTCTTGGACAAAAGTCAGCATAGGCAGTACTTGCTAAAAGTATTCCCACCTGAGTTTGAACGTCATTAACTCAACTCCCTTCTCTCTTTTTTCTTGGCATGGATCATTCCCTTCTTCAACCCCAATTTTTAAAACTTATTTGCATTCCATAAACAGTGTGATAATTCTTCACCAAATCTCTGTCTAGGATAATAAGGCCTTGAACAAAGTATAAAGTCGATAATAGCCACTTTTTTTTTTTCAATTGCAATATATATTTTAAACTGATACATAAAAAACTTTTACTGTACATATTTATAGGGTATTACATGATGTTTCAATGCATATTTATGCTGTGTAATGTTCAAATCAGGATAAGCATATCTATCTCCTCAGACATTTATTATTTCTTTATGATGAAAGATTAACTTTTTTTCTTCTAGTTTCTTGAAATATACAGCCCATTATTATTATCTATAGTCACTCTACTGTGCATTTGCACAACAGAACTTCTTATTGCTTTCTAATTTAGTGTAACAATGGCCACTCTTACTAAAGACTCTAGCATCGTTGGGGTGCTGGAGAGCATGATGCATAGATTTGGGACCCTGGGACACCAGCAGCCATAGAATGTAGCCTGCTTATGTTTGCTTTGCCTGCTACTGATGGAAGAGCAGGTATGAAATTGTCCCTGAAAGTTATTCCTTTGCTGGGCACTAACTTTTGAGAGCTGTGACCCTGTTCTGACTGTGTGAACTCTCCTGAGCCTTAGAAATCACCCTCTACTTCACGTGGACCGTGCCCTCTCTGAGTTCTGCATTCTGGGTTTGGAGAAGCTCTCCTAACACCTCTTAAAAAAGATTCCCAGGGGGCCTTGGGGTGGTCTGTAGCGCTTTATGTGGTTATTTGAATTGAAAAGAGGCAGGAAAGAGAGAACTTAGTTTTTGTTTCCCTGGATTTGTTTCTTAGTAAGGAAAAATCATGAATCACTAACTTATTATATTCAACCTTCCTCTTTTTTTTTCCTCCTCCTCCTCCTCCTCCTCCTTCTTTTTTGGCCTTTGGTACCCTGTAGGTCACCATATTCTCATCAGTAACAGTGGCTGGCAATGGCCAGGATTCTTGCAAGTTTTGGAGTGAGTGGGTAGAGGGTGAAACAGTTCCTTCAAGACCATGGGCTGAAAGCTCTGGGATAGGGTTATATATCATTTTCAGAAGTCCCCAGGTGATTTTGATTTACCCATTTTCCTAACTCTTCATTACTTTGTCACTGTATGATCCACATTGATGTTTCTTATATTATCTTGACAAGTAAAATTTGAGAATTATAAAAGTATTTATTAATCTAAATGGCACACTATCCTTTGATCTACTCCCACCCTTGCCAATTTTGGTTTCTAGGATCCTGGAACACATTGTTTTATTTTATAAAGGAAAAAAATATTTATTTCTAAGAATACCATCTAGATTTAAAATCAAGCAGCAAAATATAATGAAACTGCCCATGTATAATGGGGCCACAGCTGTAGATATACATTAGAGAGCTCTTAAATTGTTAGTTCTGGAGCAACCTAGTGCCATTCTCAGATAATCAAAAAAGGAATTGTGCTCATTGATTGTAATACAAGAAAGTTTTTTTCTTGAGTGAAAACGGTTCTGTTGTACAGAAAGATAAATGATATTGGTCTCTGCTTAAAGATATCATACTCTAAATTAAACCTGATCCTAGGCCTAAGGGGATTGCATCATTTGAGAGAAAAACAAAACTAAACCAAACAAAGCAGATGAACCCTGACAATTCTCTCTCTTCTGTTTTTCCCTCATTGCCATTTGTTCTGGCAACAACAGATGTGGCTTCATTCTGCCACATGGATCAAGTTCAGGCCACAGAGGCTCCTCTTGACTTAGCTTAATTCCTGGGAATCATGGGTCCCCCATCTCACCTGGTCTTGTAATTGACTCCTGAGATCCCTAGTGAGGATTGAGCTCCCCAACTTGAGGCCTTGGACATATAGTATCCCAACTCTGAGCCTCATTTGTCTTAAATCCGTTTCAAGAAATTTTGGTTAAGAAATGAAAAGTTCGGTGAAGAAATCAGATTTGAAAAAATAAAGGGTCTCTCCTAAAGCTGTTGGTAAATGGCTGTAAATACATTTTTATCTTTTCTGAGGTGTTTTGTTTCCAGCCTGCTTGTTGTCCTTAGTGTCACTACTCATCCTGCCTCTGAAGCCTCTCTCAGGGCCCTGATCTCCCCTTAGGGCTTCCTTCCTTCCCACTTCTTCATTCCAAAAAATTCAATGACAATTTTCCTGAAAAACACTTAGAATCAAGTGCCATGTCTGGAACCCAACAGTGAAAACAACCCTTTTCCTATCAAACCTTTTCAGTTCCATGTGATCCTCACTCTGTGTGTCTCCCCAGGTCTAGAGATCTAGGTTTCCAAGTTAAGAACCATAAGATGACTACACCTGGCAGAGAAACTCCCAACAGCTGTGGAGCTGGGGTAAGCAACCACAGGGCCTGGACTTTTCCTTGCTCAAGACTGCTTTTCCCCAGGGGATTTCCTTTCTCTGGCTTATGCAAATTTGGAGTCAGGTCCCTCTAGTCTCTAAGTATTTACATTGAGCATTGGAGCTGCGGTACCTAGTGGCCTGTTCTGCGGCAGCTGAGGCAGCAGAAACATTTAGCTCATAACTAACTTGCTCCTCCAGCACCTGTCAGCCTGTGTCTACAGTGAGGAACTCGATGTGGGCTTTAAGAATTCTGTGACTATGAATTTACAATGTCATTAAGTGCTTTACAGGGTGTGTTGAATTACATTCTACCTCACCAACCCGTCTGAAATCTCCCTGAGCCAAGGGACCACATGTTACTTCTCAATCTCCCTGTGTTAGCTCAACAGGGTTGTAATAAATGAACAAATGGGCTTGGTTTCAGAAGGCCTGGATCTGCATTCTGGATGAACCACTTAGGGGCTGAATAAGCTCGTTTCCTGATCTGACTTGGACAGCACACAGGTCAAGCAACTTGTTCTTGGCACATGGTAAATGATGGTCATAGCACATTGATTGGTTAGGAAGAGCAGGCTCTGCTTATTGCTGTTCCTCCCTGACTCCCTGGAGTGTCATAGTTACCACAGCATGAATGTGGAGAAAACCTGGAAGGTAGTAGGGTAGGGCAGGGCCATCACATAGTGCCTGCTTCCTGAAGACCCATGGAGGCCTGGATGAGTATGGTCTGGGTTTGGTCTTTCCAGCCTGCTTGCTGTCCTTAGTGTCACTACTCAATTCTGCCTCTGAAGCCTCTCTCAGGGCCCTGGTTCCCCTTAGGGTTTCCTTCCTTCCCAGCCCTGGCCCTTGGTGCCCTGGCTTGCTGCCATGGTAACAGCTTCCAGGGTGACAAAGGAAGGAGCTGGGTCCTGTTGATGAGGATTTTCAGAACAGAGCTGAGCTGTGCTGCACCCATCCAGGCTCCCTCTTTATTCTCAAACTTGCATTCCTGCCAACAGGACCATGTGTACCAGCCTGACCATTTGTGAGTGGAAGAAAGTCTTCTATGAGAAGATGGAGGTAGCAAAGCCGGCTGACAGCTGGGAACTCATCATAGACCCCAACCTCAAGCCCAATGAGCTGGCCCCTGGCTGGAAGCAGTACCTAGAGCAGCACGCCTCAGGCAGGTGAGAGGCCCAGTGGGGAGAAGCCCTGCATGCAGCCCCTGGGTCACAGCCCTAGGCCACCATCCAAAGAGAGACAGAGGTGGGGCTGTGGTTACTCTCACTCTGTGTTAATTCAGGTTGGGGAGCAGAGAAAGGAGTTCAGGTGCTCCACAGAGGCCCTGGTTCTAATGGTAGACTCCCTGGGTGGCATTGGGCAGGTTACATTTCATCTCTGGGTCTCTGTTTTCCACAATGAACAAAGAGCTTCAATGCTTCTGCAATCTCTGTCAAAGTGTGGCTGGAATGGGGGGTTCTGAGGTCCACTGGAAAAAGAGAAGCTGGTCCTCTGGTCCTAGGTCTGCTTGTTCAGTAAATTAAAGGCAACTTGATTTGAATACAGGAATAGGTATTGACCATCAGTTATGTGATAGAAAATAGCTCTATAGCTAAATAGCTCTGTGAGCTTGGGCAAGTCTCTCTCTTCTCTGGCTCTCAGTTTCCACATTTGCAAAATGAGGGTAGTGGCCTTAGATGATGATCAATCAGATGTCTTTTATTTCTCTTATCTATGAGTTTGTGACAAAAAGGCTTAACTTTGGGTAGGACTTCCCTTAGATCATTAAGGCCCAGGGCCTGTAATTTGGAACTGGGACCACAAAATTCCCTGCCCAAACTGTCTCAAGTCCACCAACAGGGTATCTGCACAGGTCTTTGAATCCCCTTCTATGTCTGTCTACACCTCCAAAACACCTCCACCACCTACTGTCCTCCTTGGGTTTTTGAATCCCCAAAGAAGACAGTAGGTAGTGGAGGTGTTTTGGAGGTGTGGACAGAACATAGAAGCAGAGACTGGGTTGTTCACACTGGTGTATATGTGAAGCCCCTTATGGTGCAGAATGGTTCTAAGGGTGGAAACAGAAGGCGGTAGGCTGTAGGTAGGGAGTTTATTTTAACTCTTGCTTCAAGATCTGCAAACATTAGATTGAACCTGCATTTTTTTTTCTTTCAGTACTTGAGATTCTCCAGGGACAATTTACCATGGAGCTACAACCCTAGCCCCCCCCTTTTTTTATTGATACAGGGTTTAAGTTGCTTAGGGCCTCACTAAATTGTTGGGGTTGACTTGCACCTCCTGAGCTGGTAAGATTACAGGCATGAACTACTGAGCTCAGAGAAAGTTAAGCTGTTAACTTAAGAGAGACTTGCCCAAGCTCACAGAGCTATTTAGCTTTAGAGCTATTTTCTATCACATAACTGATGGTCAATAACTATTCCTGTATTCACTTAACTAGCTGTGTGTACATGGATGACTCTCTCATTCTCTGTGCTTCTATCTCAACTCAGTAATTTGTAACTAATCCCCACCCCTTTACCCAGGTCTAAAATGTTTGGATTTTAGATTTGGGGTCTGGCTTGAGCGAGAGGAAACATTTTGTATTGAACTGTATTGGATTATTTATTTTTTGTATTGGATTATTTTAAAAGGTGTTGGTTGGGCATGGTGACACACATACCTGTAATCCCAGTGACTTGGAAGGCTGAGACATGAGAATCACTAATTCAAAGCCATTCTCAGCAACAGCGAGGCACTAAGCAACTCAGTGAGCCCCTGTCTCTAAATACAATACAAAATAGGGCAGGGGATGTGGCTCAGTGGTTGAGTGCCCTTGAGTTCAATCCCCAGTACAAAAAAAAAAAAAAAGTATGGAAGGAGAAGACTGAAAACATAAAGCATTTGAGTTTCTTGGAGGAAGGAATGCAAAGAGGTGGAGATTTGGGTGTGAGGACTCAGGATTTTAGGAACTGAGTTGGACAGGTTCTTGTTTCCTCTTGGCCTCAGGGCTCAACTGATGCTGTTCCAGAGTGGTCACCTGTGGCTCCCAGCTAGCCTCAAGGAGGTTGGAGAATGGCTATTCCTATGCTTATTCTCATATGCATATACTCATATAAAGTGAGTGCATATACTTACTTCATCTTTGAGTTTTCCTATGGGGTGAGTGTTGGGGATGGGCTTCTGTTTCAGGGTCAGTCAAGCTCCTCGCCCTGTCAACCTTGTTTCAGGTGGTGCTGAGGACTGTTCATGGTCATGTTGTTAGAGGCCTCCAGGGATCAGGGGCTGGCTGATTCATCTCTTACCCTCAGCCTGGACTGATTAGTGCTTGAAATACAGCACAAGCTGAGTGGTGCCTGCTGGGCTGAATTGAATTCATCATCAGAGATCTTTCAAGGCCATTATACACTGAGTGTAGAAAAGGCCAGAAACAGCCCAGTGGACACCAGATAGCATCTGAAGACTCAGTCACAGGGTCCTAGAAAGGATTCATCTTAGGGATGGAAGGCACTTATCTAGAGTTAACAAATGTTCCAACACTGGAGATGTGCAAACATTGGTGAGAGCAGGAGGAGTGGGGATTGGCTAGATGAGCCCCAGGCCTCTTCCTCTGCACTTCCTGAGGCTGGGACTCTAGAGTCCCAGGTTAGATAAAGTGTTCTGTATATATGTGTATGAGAGGTGATGATGGAATAAGTATCTAGATCTACTTTTCAGGTGCTCATTGAGAGGCTGAAGTGGGATCTAATGATTACTTGTCCAGCGACAGGGGAGAGTTTGCTGTCAAGATATAGGGATCAGACTTGGTAGTCCTTCTGTGATCCAGTCTTTCATCACCCCCTCTGTCCATCCTTCTCAGTGGTTTACTAAAGACCTACAGTGTACCAGAATCTGTGCTTAGCTTCTCTTCTCCAAGCAAGCAAGGAAGATGCATGAGTCAGATGGTGCAGGCCATCCTCTTTATCATAGTTACAGGAAGGCTGAGTGGAGAGACCCTTATTGGATACCATCACATTACATTTCACAAATGGGAAATGAGGCCTAGAGAACGGGAGTGACCTGTGTAGCATTCAGGTGCAAACCCTGCATGCATTAGGCTTGGGAAAGCTGAGGGGCTGCAGGAAGGCATGCAGAAAGCTCACCATAGACCACTGCTGGTTGCCAGATGGCTCCAGTGCGAGGCTCCTGAGAGCACTGCCCTAATCCCAAGGGACCAGAAGGAAGTGGTTGCTGGCCAACCTCAGTGCGTTAATGAACCTATAAGTGGTAAACACTTCCATTCCCAGGCTCAGGTGCACAGGCCTTTCCTTTCTGAGTTTCCCAGGGTGGGATGTCACCGGCAGGCTCACCTTTTCCATTCCTCCTTCCCCATCCTGCAGGTTCCACTGTTCCTGGTGCTGGCACACTTGGCAGTCGGCCAACATTGTTATTCTCTTCCACATGCACCTGGATAGAACGCAACGGATGGGATCAGTGCGCATGCGCATCTTCAAGCAGCTTTGCTTTGAGTGCGGCACCGCGAGGCTGGATGAGTCCAGCATGCTGGAGGAGAACATTGAGGGCCTGGTGGACAACCTCATCACCAGCCTGCGCGAGCAGTGCTACGAGGAGGACGGCGGCCAGTACCGCATCCACGTGGCCAGCCGCCCTGACAGAGGACCACACAGAAGTGAATTCTGTGAGGCCTGCCAGGAGGGCATCATGCACTGGAAGCCCAGCGAGAAGCTGCTGGAGGAAGAGGCGACAGACGCCTTCTCTGATACCTCCAAGCCGAGGGCCCAGGCTGGCTTCGGCTACAACTTCTTCTCCCTTCGCTGGTGCCTCCTCTGGGGCTCCCTCTGCCTGCTCATAGTGTACCTGCAGGTCTCCTTCCGCAGCCCCGCCTTCTTTTAAAAGACAAAGGGTTGAGTGGGGTCAATCCGGCTCTGATTCTGCTACAGATTTTATAACCCTAGACAACTCACTCACCTGTCTTGAATTCAGTTTATTCCTCTGTAGAAAGAAGGGTCTGCATTAGGAATTTTAATGGTCTTCCCATTAAATTTTCCAGTAAAGACGGGTAGTGGAGAAAGATCTAATAGGTTTTGGAATTTACCAGGTTTGGTAAGATACTAAGTCCACAGAGAGAGAGAGAAATAACTCTCTTCTTTCGCCCCTCCACCTCCATCTTTAGCCCCCCTTTTGCTTTATTTCCATATCCATTAGATCCCAGCTAGACCTTGCCTCATTCTCATGATCATCTTCAACTGCCCTGACAGTCTTGCTTTGGCTTCCTCTGGAGACAGCAGTAGTTTCCACGGAGTATATAGGGGCAAAGTCACCTGATCCCTCTCTGGTAGAGCTTTTTCCTACCATTGTGAAGCAATCAGTTTTTACTCTGATGCCAGGGTCTGCTTGGGTTGGATGGTCTAGAGCTGCACTGCCCAATATGTTAGCCACTGGCCATATGTGGCAATTTCAATTTAATTAAAATGAAATAAATTTAAAATTCAATTCTTCAGTCTCACCCAGCTTAGTTAGGCCAGTACAGTGTGTGCCCGCATGGGGCCATTGTGTAACTGCAGAAAATGGTGGTTGCTAGTAGGATGAATATCAAGGACCTCAAGAATCATTCCTATGATTTCCAGAGACTGTCCGTCCTCTGCCTGAGTCCACCTTGGGAATCTCAAGGCAACATAAAGGGACAGAATTGGAATGAAGTGGCACCTGCCAGCATCTCTGTGGTTTGTGGGTCTAGGAAGAGACTACCAAAATTGTGTCATGAGGGAGAGTCATGCCTGAGA